TGCTGCAGCCCGTGCGGCCGGGGGAGGCGGTGTCGCGGCCGGCCCGTCCGCCCGGGGCGCGGTTTCCTGAGCGTCGCTTGCGGGTTAAGGCCACGAGTTTTACTTGCCAAAGCTGGCGTCCTGCCTCAGCAGGCGAGCTGCCCCCCTGGGTCCGGCCACCTCTAACCCCGCGCCCAGGGATGCTTCGTGCTTTAGCATCGCTTTGCCATTCGGTTGTGCCGGGAGCGTCTCGAGCTGGAGCTGGAGGTTTAGATGACTCGGGGAAGGCTTTTGTTATACACCTTTCATATTTTAGATGCATAAAAATAGTTGAGTTTGCCTTGTCTCATTGCAAAGCATACAAGACCCCGGGTTTCTTTTTTTCCGTGTGTGGAGAGCTGCAGCACACAGGGATCCTCCCTACCTTCCAATTTCCCTCCCCACAGCCAGGAAGTTTCCACACTTCTTGCTTTAAAATCCTGCTACTCTCCCTGTTTTTATCTTGTCCTTATTTTATCTTCTCTCTTTGTAGCCATTGCTTACATTGCTGCTTGTACCATGAGTTAGACAGGCCAGCTGGAGACCAGGTGCCATTACATCCCTGGGTTTATCCCAGCACTTCCTCACGTGAGGCAGCAATACCAAAGTGATATTTCTGCCATGCAATGGAGCTGGCCAAGACTTGGGAAAAGAGACCACTTCTTTGAATTCCAGGTAATAACTGTAATAGCTTAGTTATATTTGATGATAACCGCTACCGCACATTGCTCCTCCTTACCTCAGTGCGAGCCATTCCACTTAGTTCACTGTACTGTTGGCTGCCCTTCATAATTATGATTTTGTGACCTATACAGGGGGGAATTATTAAAGACTGGAAACAGCTAGTTATAACAAATTAGCCTTTTTTTTTTCTGCCAAGGGAGAAGCCTAAAGTAGTAAAGCTGAAAACAGCATTACTCCAGTACAGAAAGTATATATAGCATAGAGGGATGCGTGTCATGTATGACCGGAGAGACACGTAAAGCAGAATGATACATCTCTGCGGGGCATCCGCGGGGTACTGCTGCAGGTACGTGCGTGTGCGCGCAGCGCAGAGCAGCGCAGCGCAGCGCAGCGCAGCGCAGCGGCGGCTCGCGAGGGTGCGAAGGGCCCAGCTGACACCACCTGCCAGCCGGTTTGTTAGGAAAAAAACTTCACCAAAAGTGCCGCTCGCCCGTGGCGCAGGACGGCCGAAACCACGCGCACAGCGCCGAGAGGGGCCGCAGCTGGAACACAGGAATGTGTTTGTTGGGGCATCTCTCGAGCACAGCTTGGGAAAGGGACGCTGCTGAGTTTATAATCTCCCCCGACTGCGGGCTCACGTTTGGACTGTAATTTAAGTGCTGTCCAAAGGATTATGAAGGAATTGCAGTCCACCTTCGGGGCGAAACGGAGCAGCAGGTTAAGCAGCCTGTT